AGTTGTGATAATAGTGGTTTGTGTCTTTGTTTTCACACTTGCAGATGATGCAGAACTTGCTTCTGGAAGAGGGAGGCCTGGTGCAAGTGGAGAGCGTTAATCTTCAAGTTGCAACTTACTCAAAATTTCAGCCACAGAGTCCAGATTTTCTTGACATCACCAATCCCAAAGCTGTGTATCCTTCTGTTCTGTTATGGAGCCAGCGGGCAAAAGTTTTTCCCAAATTTGAATGATGAAGCAGAGCTAGCTTTTCAGGTGTGGCTTATACTCTTCTAGTAGTAGGTAACTACTACAGCTCCTTCTGAAAACAAAAAAGAATGGATAGCTTATGTAGAGAAATGCTGCCAACTGCTGGCACAACGTGTACTGAAATGAAGAAGCATGAATCTTGACTTGAAGTCCAATGAGTCTGCATGTCCCTTTAGAAGAACTCATGCAGCCTAATGCTTCCTAAAAGGCTATGTACAATACTTATGACTTTTAAATGACATTTGAGAGATAAAGGATCAGAGTTGTATAGATTGAGGCTTTGATGTTGCATTGAAAACAGATGTTTCATCTTAACATACTTCACAGATTAGAAAATGCATTGAGGAACTTCGCTTGTCTGACTACTGGAGATGTTATTGCCATCAACTACAATGAAAAGGTACTGTATACAGGACCAGTCCATGCAGGTTTTGTTTGGATACGTCAATTTGAGGAAACAAGTTCTGTTCCATGTAAAAAAGCACACTGTAGGCTGTGACCACAAGTACATCTTGTGAATGGATTTTATAGTTGAGTATTTTTGGCAGCACATGTGATCACTTGGGATTGTAGTCTAAGCTCTGTTGTTGCATGGTGGTGCTAAAACTATCAACAGAGCTGTGCAGTGTTTGTGAGAAGCAATCCCAGATAGTAGATTTTGCAGTCAGTTTTCTGTTGGAAGAGGAAAGGGTCAGCTAAGTCTTCTCCTGAGCTGCTCTTCAGACTGGTTTTTGATTCACAAGCAAAACAAACACTTGTGCTGTTGGTAATTTTGAAGTCTGTCCCTTGCATGTATTGTAAATTCATAATTTGCTTCTAGGAATGCAGATTATAGTAAGAGTGTAGTAAGTTACAACAAAAAGTAGTTTCTTTAGCTCTAGCATATAGCAGTCTTCTAAGCTAAAAAATCTTTGTTTTCAAGTTCTGTAGAGACCCTGCAGTATTCAGTCCTCAACCTAAAGAGCACTCGCTTCCATTTTCTGGAAGCTCTCTGAAGGGAAAGGTTTAGATCGGGTTTTTTTGTATGTAAGTTGAGCTGTTTCATGTGCAGCCTTAAAATACTCATTACTGTTTCAGATCTATGAGCTTCGGGTGATGGAGACCAAACCGGATAAAGCTGTGTCCATCATAGAATGTGATATGAATGTAAGTTAAAGCTGATGTGGAAAGTCTGCTTTTACTGTGCCCTCCCAGAAGGAGAGGGCATCTTGTTCAGTGATAGCACTGAACACTGAGCACCTCTGATGCTGCAGGAAAGATAAAATCAGATGAGACAGGGAAGATGACGCATTTGACAGTACCCCATATATCTTTGTAACCACAGCTGTAGTCTAGAGCTGCGCTTTGTGTACTGTCAGGTGACTGTAGTGCCTAAAATATAATGTTTAGCTTCAACGTGTTTTATAGCAGAGTTTTATTTAATAGCCTTGTCTTGATTCAAACTCCGATGATGTTGTGTGGTGCTGTGTTACTGCACTGTTTCAACTACATGCTAACACCTGTTCCTAAGAGGCTTAGTCTTTTTAGTTCCGAGTTAGAATGTTGGGCAAACAAACCTCAGTTCTTTCTAGATCAAATGGAATGATGGTTTGTGGAATTTTGAGGGGTAGCAGTGTAAAGATTATGCTTAAAAGAAAAATACCAGTCATGCTTATTTTCATGCTTCTTGTGTAAATAGGTGGATTTTGATGCTCCTTTGGGGTACAAAGAACCAGAAAGAGCTGCACAGCATGAAGAAACCACAGTAGGTTAAGCTTCTGTTCTTCAAAAATGTATTCCCTAGAAGTCAACCCTGCTTGTGATGGTGCAGTGCACAACAATGTATTTTTTCTTCCTGAAAAGATTAAGACTAAGCTTTACTTACCAGATGCTTTTGCTTGTGTTGATTAGGAGATGGCTGTCTACTAAGTGTTGTTTTGGAAAGGGATTGTTGTGAAGTTTTTTTTTATCAGAAATACGTGGAACTGTTTTTGTGTATTCTGCATATCACAACATGAACAATGAACTAACTTGCGTTTGCCTCGCAGGATGTTGAAGCAGACCACAGTGGATACGTGAGTGATGTAGGATTTCGTGTAAGTCCCCTATTTCTGATAGCTTATGAATGTTGTAGAATGGTGAGGGGAAGTGGTTCCAAACAACTGCAAGACAGTAGTACCTGTTTATCATTTAATTGGCAACTATCTGTGGGTGTTACAGCCAGTAACAGTATGACTTCCTGTCCTTAAATGACAGTCTTTGAATGGGAGACTGAAACATACTCTTCCACTCACAGTCCATCAGCTTATATGTACCAAGAAGAAACATGCTGAAACAAGTAATTCAATAAAAGTTATAGTAAGATTTGGAGGATACAGTATCCTTGTGCAGTGTTCAAATACAGGATACAGTTAAATTAAAACTCATTCTGTATATGCAGGCGTTTTCTGGTTCTGGGAACAGGCTGGATGGCAAGAAGAAAGGAGTTGAGCCCAGTCCATCACCAATTAAACCAGGAGACATTCGAAGGTACGTCTGGGATCACTGTTTGAGTGGAGTTTATTTTATTTCCTGCTCCTGCAGTGTAAACAAGCTGTTTTCATCCTAAATTTACATTTAGAAAATGACCTAATATTTTAGACTGACTGTGAGGTCCTTGTCTGCTTAAGATGCAGATCCTAAATTAATGTTGCTAAAACTCAGGTTATATGGAAGACAAACAGGGAGAGGCAGCAGGTCTGGACTGGGCTGAATCAAGCAATGCACAGACCCCTGCTGATGTAGTCAAGTGAAATGTGTCAGAGTGGAATTTTCTTTGAGTTGGGTGGATAATCAAAGCCATGTATGCGTTTGTGTGGTGCGGGTTTTTGTGTGTGTTTGATTTCCTACAAGGACATTTAGAAATTCAGACTTGGTGAAAGTGTGCAGGTACATGGTTTCTGTGGTGTTTTGTCACTTACACTTGTCACAATGAAACTTGAACCCTTGTGGAAAACAAGTCTGTGGCCCTTTGGAAACCACAGGCCACATGGAAACATGCCCAGAGCCAGGCTGCTACAGCAGCTCCAGTATCTGATCATTTACTTCATGCAATGTGTGCCTGCCTTCAGGAAGTAATTCAGTGGTTTAACTCTAGGATTACTTAGTAATGAAAATTTGCAGTAGTGTTGGTGCAATATGGAAAGACACGGAATAGGTCTCATGGTGTTCAGTTGGATGGAAGGTAAAAAACTTTTTCCATAACATTTTTATGCTCTTTTCCAGAGGAATTCCCAACTATGACTTCAAGATTGGTAGGATCACATTCATTAGAAACTCACGTCCCCTAGTTAAGAAAGTCGAAGAGGTAAATCAAGTTGTATATTTCCCAATTTGCACAGAACTAGAACACCAGAACTGCTGCCCAAGTTTGTGGTTCCTCTCTCCATACCTGATTCTTCATTGCACATTCCTCTTAAAAAGTGGTTTGAGTTAGGTGAAAGCAACCTCCAATACCCTTGCTTACTGATGTAAAAAGATTGACCTGATATAAGTTTAATAAGCCAGGCCAGTTTCTTTTGGCTCAGAGGTCCCTGAAATGCTTGTATTTTGAGGGAGAAAGGGGTTATTAAGTAGATTAAGGATGTGAAACGTCAACAGTCAGTTGCTGCTCTGAGGGAGTGTTCTTTCTAATGATTGTTCAGCTTATATCATGCACAAGCAGTGACCAACGAGGTAACAACCTTTTTCCCTCCTTTCTTTTTCCAGGATGAATCTGGAAGCCGGTTTATTGCCTTTTCAGGAGAAGGCCAGTCCCTGCGCAAAAAGGGAAGAAAACCCTAAGTTGTGGTACTTTTAGTCGGTTAGGAGGAAAATAAAGCAATTGCAGCATATTGGATCTTAGTTACTACAGTTGAGAGGAGAGGGCACACAGGAACACTTTTACTGGTTTGGTTTCATGTTTAAAACTGGAGTTGTTGGACTGTCTTAATTTTCAGTTGGAAATTAAGTTGAAAGTAAGTTCTAGGAATTCTGAAAGAATGTTTTGTATGTGTTGTAAAGAGGGAGAAGTTGACCTTGGATAAACCTGAGAGATAAAACCAAGGTCTACCTTACTAGAAGGCCTGTTCTTAGACTGTATCCTCCCCTTTTACATCCCGAGCAGTGATGGTCTCACATCGCTCTGTGCTTGGTATTTTCCTCCCTCTGTATGCATTTTGCCACAATTTCCGGTAAGCTTTTTGGTGTGGTGTAAACCAAAGCAGATAGTTTGGTGTTTAGGACTTTTGTGCAGGGACTCTTTGATCTTAGCTTCAGGTGTTGGGTTATAAATCATTCTAAGCAATCTCCCTGTAACTGCTTTTTATATTTATAATTAATAACATGCCTTTTTGATAGTTCAGATAAATAACGTACTGTACTATCTCGTGGCACATGTAGCAAGTGGCAGACCCAGCTTTGCTGCCTGGTGCTGGGTAATGCCGCAATGCCCCGGGCAGCCTTTCGACGGCTGCGTGTCGCTCCTGAGCCGGGTGCAGGCCGTGCGCTCCGTCCCGGCGGGCGAGTAAAGGTTCTTCGGTGACCACCGTGCGTCCCGTGTGCTGATTCCCGGGACAGCGAGCGGGCTGCGCGGATGGGTGGAGTGCGGGTCACGTGGCGTGCCCAGCGGCCAGCTATTGGCTCGCAGGCCCTTGGGGTGGGGAGAAAGGGTTGCCGGGTTGTGTCGCCCGTCGCCATTGGCCGGAGTCGGGGATCTACTTGCAAAGAGCGGCGGGGATTGGTGGCGGGGTGGTGGCAGTATGGCGGACGGCGGGACCTGGAGGGTAAGCGGGGAGGCGGCGGCTGGGGCGGCAGGGCGGGCCGGCAGCGGGGCTTATCCCGGTTTCTTGTCCGCCCGCAGCCGCCGCGGTCGTGCGAAGACTACTGGTGGGAGTGGAAGCACTGCCGCGGGCTGCGGCACGCCTTCCACCACTACTACGCGCACGGGGAGCTGCCGACCTGCGACCGCTGGCGGGAGGACTACGAGGCCTGCCGCGCCTGGGAGAAGGGCCGCGCCGCCGCCGCGCAGGTACGGCCCGCATCGAGCGGCAGACGGTAGCGGAGGTTGCTGTGCCGCCCGGGCCCCTGCGGGCACCGCGTACGGGCTCTGTAGGCAGGTGCCTGAGAACTGCGCAGCTGCCTGTGGCGAGGGGTGCCGGCGGTCAGGGAACGGGGAGGGGCTGGAGCAGCGGGTGTTCGGTTGGGGTGGAGGCGGGTAAGCTGGTCTGACATCCCGCGGGAGCAGTGTCAAGTTCTGTAAAAGCTCTTGATTGCAGTTCCTCCAGCGTTCCCTTCCTCATAACGAAAGTTGCCTTATTACGGGCAAAAAGTATTCCTGGGACATCCAGAAATGCTCCTCTCTACAGCCCCATGAACACTGTGGATGGGAGTCCTTCAGCACAGGCTGCAGCATAACAGCCTTTCAGCTCCATCGGACAGCTGGCAGGGATGGTAGCACATAACTGGCGATTTTTTTGTGATGGAGGAGTCAGAGGCAAAATTGTAAATGTGATGTAGTTAAAAGTTTGTATGCTGGCCTGCTTAGATAGTATTTGGCAGTTCTGTTCAAGTATGATAAATTTCAGGTCCTCTTTTTATCTCAGTCACAGCAAGAAATAAGCTGTGTGATACTGGAACATCCACCACTGTAGCGGTAATGTTCTTGTCTTGTACTTCAGGAAGCTTTGTGCAAGAGTGAAAGAGCTCGAGTCATGGAAAACCAGAAGTATGCTCCAGTGTGGACATTCAGGAAGAGCCCACCCCGGGACTGGTATCTTCCACTTGACCAAGACAAACCAAATTAGCGAGACTGCTTTGCTGTGTTTGGTCAGTAATGCAATACACAATGCACAACTATGCTGGGTATTTTCCTTTCCTTCCATGTCATGTTGAAATGATGTAACTGTAGCTCTGCCCTGGCAATACTTCAGTGCTCATTCATAAACAGAGTTCACTTAAACACCCTCTGCTATTTAAGGGGAGAACTGAGGTGCTTGATTTCATTCTGGTCTCTTACTGCTGTCTCATGCTTTAGGTTTTCATCTCAGCACCTTGGCGGGGAACTCCTATGTCACTGCATACATGATCTAGCTCCTCTTGCTAGGCCAGCACCTCTTCCTCTTGCAGCCAGTGTTGTGCACTTGTGGAACAAGGTGCCAGATGGGCAAATAAAACCAAGCAGGGGCTCCTCCCTGCCAGGTCAGGACAAACACAGCCACTGGCATCTGAAAGAGCCTTCCTGGGTTTGTGACTGTTATGGGTTGAGAGTTTCTTACCAGGTGGGATAAAACTGCCCCTTTGTGGAATTGCTCTCTAATGGGTATGTGTCGACTGCAGTACTCAAGCTTACTACAGAAATGAAGGTTTAAATGGATGGAGAGAAATCTGTTAGAAACTTAATTGTTATATGGCAATATTAAAGAGAAACAAAACCACCTCACTTTTGACTTTGTCACCATGTTTCCCTCTTAGATGCAAAAGTATTTCACTGAGGTCTGAAAAGAAAGGCAGTAAACAATCAGCTGTTAACTCCCTTCTAGTACAGATCCTAATATGATGACTGTGACATTCTTTACTCGTAGCACGGGAATCTTCCAAGTAATGGTTTATGTAGGACAAAGAAATGCTGCATGGAGGGATGAGAGAAGCCTAGAAAGATAAAACACTGTGAAATACCGTTTATCTTGTTGCAGCATGGCACAAGTATAAGGCAGTGTAGCTCTTTGGGCATTACTACTGAGAGCGCTGTTTAAAGAAACCCAACCAAACAGGTACTTCATTAATCCGTATTTTTTGCAGTCTCACACCTACAGTATTTTAACCTACAGGAGTAGTTCATCCTTACTCCATTCTTTCCTCCTGCATCACCTGAGTAGCTCATGCCAGATGAGCTACAAACTCCTCCATCACTGTGTATACACTTTGGTGATATCAATGCATTTCCCTTCAGGAGGATCGTAGCCAGGGAGCGGTGGGGTGTAACTGGGTCCATCTCTCTCAAAGGGGAAAAGCCCCTCATCTCGCCTGATTGCTGCTTGATACAACTCCTCCGACTCAAGGCGCAGTTCCTTTAGTGCCTCTTGCTGAGCTTCTACCATGCTCTGAATCGCTTTCTTTTCGGCGTTATCTTGTTTCTGCTTAAACAAACACCACTTTTTCAGAAGTAAAACTCTTCTTTCGGTCTCCTCAGGTGACAAGTCAGGAAGACTTCGCACCCTGATGCAAGGTAAAAAAACATTGTCATAAAAATAGCTGGCACCCCAAAGAGCAAATCAGAGCAAACAACAAACCAACAAAAAACCCCACCAAAGCCAGAGAGTACATTTCCTCCATACAGCATCTGCTCTTGAGGTTTTCCAGTTGGTCTAACATGAAATTCATGTTACTGGTTTATTTCCACTACTTCTAGCAGTGGAAGCAGATAAAATTTATTTTCCATGTTTTTGTCTTGGTGGAAGCAGAGAAGGTTTTGTCCCAAGGCTGGCACTATGTTCCTGTTTTGCAGAGAGAGAATAAGTGTTTCTACCATGCATGCAAGCACACAGTGAAAGACTGACCTGTTGCTATCTGCATACTTCACTGGTCTTATAAAATCCTCAATTGGAATCAATTCTGGGGCCGTTTTTTCCAACTTTTTAATCCTCTTTTTCATACGATCCTTCTGTGCTTGCTCTCTCTTCACATCCACCTTCTTCTTCTTCTTTGGTTGTGCTCTACAAGGGAAATAATGGGTGTCAATGAAAGCAGGTATTTTGTCATTTAATTACAAACCAGCAGCCTTCACCTCCACTTTGCTTTTCTAAGTACTGTTCCTTCCTATTGCTTAATTTGGTCTCCAGTGAGGTTTCTGCCATGAGCTTTATTCAAGTAATGCAGTTTTCCAGGTGACAGTAGCATGTCCTGTGAGATCTGCTGCAGGGAGCACTGTGCCTACCTGAGAAAAGCAACCTCCAACTTTGTGCTGAACATCAGAATGACGTGAGGAAGTGCCACAAAAATTGAACTGGAATTGTTGTTCAGGTACAGCAGTGTGGGTAACAGGTTTATCTGCAAGTATTCCTGTCCTCCCGCATTAAAGAGGAGGGTGAGTGGTTTCACACATCCTTCTAAAATTTCCACACTTGGAATCAAATTCAGGCTGCAGACGTTACTCTGCTGTTGTACTTCCTCATGCAGATCCAGTATTCCCAAGGTAACATGCAGTACATTCCCCAAACACAGACTAAACCCTCACAGTGGGCCTGTGGTGGGGTATCACTCCTGCCGTGCAGACTGAACAAACAGCTGCTGTGGTGTGAAACAGCCTCTCTGATGGTACCAAACAGCAACATGAGTATTTTAAGTCTAGTTGCGTCAAAATAAGAGATACCATCATGTAGCCTTCCATAAATGCAGGCAGTCCAGTCTAACACTTCCATAGTACAGTGTTTTCTGTTCAAGGCTTTCATTTGCATTGGTGCTCAGAGGAGCACAGCATAAATTTGAATACGTCAAGCCATGTTCTGTGGCTGAGGAAGCAAATACATGCATCAAGTGGTAGTTGCACAGGTTACCATTAAATTCTCAGGAGGCCGACAGTCCTCAACAACTGTTACGTACAGTAACTGAAAAGCAAACACCTACAGTTAAAAGTTAATTTAGACTTTCAGAAATCTGCATTTCCCTATGGATGAAAACATTTCAATATAACTCCATGGAAGCTGCACTCACCTCATGGGGAGAGACGCCCTGAACGCCAGCACCGAACTCTGCCAGTGACTCCCTCGGGATGGAACTGCCTGGGGCAGCCAGGAACTGAGGAAGGAAATGGGACATAAAGCGTGAAGAGAAGCTGACTGTGATGCCACTGATTCTGCACAAGAACTAGTCATTACTTATAATAAATACATCAGTTATATATAGTTAGTATTAGTTGTATACAGTTATATTTTATATATATATGAATCACAACACTGGGTTTTGAATCATCTTGGCTACTTAATTCATGACAGTATACAGTGCGTGCTCGGAGACGATAACCTCACCCCCAGAATGCCCGCTGTCAGTGGTGTGAACCCGCAGAGCACCGGCGGGTGAACCAGGTAGAGTTTTAATGATCAGAGCAATCCTGTTCTTAAGCCCAGGTATCGGCCTCTGAGGTGCGATTCTGGAGGTAGAGCCCCCACCGTTGTCATCGGGAGGACCGAAGCCGATCCTCACGCCTCGGCAGACCGCACCAGAACAAGAACCGGCCCCGGTGTCTGGAACCAGGCCCGCAGGCACGAGGAGCCCCGGGAGAGCGAGGTCGCCCGGCGCAGGGCTGGCCAGGGGAGGGCAGTGCATGACCCGCGCAAGGGCCGCTCCGCCGGGCCTCGCCCCGGAGCACCGTGACCGCCCCAGCCGTACCTGAGTCGGGCTCCGCAGAGCCCGCGGGCCGCCACCGCCGCCGCCAACATGGCTCCAGCGCAGTGCCAGCGGTACCCCTGCAGAATCCCGCCGGCCGCGCTCCGACTGCCGCGGCCTCAGTTCCGTCTCACAAACGTTCCGGGCGTGGAGAGATGGGTTTGGCGCAGGCCGGCCCCGCCCCTCCCGGCCCCGCCCCGCCGCCATCGTTGCGCTCCGCCCGGCAGGGGGCGCCCGCCCATCCGGCCGCTCCCGCCCGCCCTGGAGGCGGGGCGGCGGTGCCTCGCGGGATCTCGCCCCCCGCCGGCCGAGGCGGGGGAACGCCGGTGCTCGGGGGCGGCTGTTTCCCGCCGGGCCGGTTTGGCGGTTGCCAGGCGCCGAGTTCCGGCGTTGCCGGGAGCCGCCGGGAGCGGAGCGGGGGATGCGGCCGGGCGGCGGCGGCTGCGGCACGAGCGGCGCCGGGGCATGGGGCAGCGCTGAGGCGGCTCCGGCCGGCCGAGGGGGCGGGCAGAGCGGCGCGCGGCGGGGGCCCATGGTGGCCGGCGGCCGCTGAGCTCCGCCGCTCGCTCGGCCGCGGAGGCAGCCCGGGTGGAGCCGCCCTGGGGTCCCGAGGGCGGAGGCCGGCGGGGGCCCCGGGCGGGGAACAATGAAGCTCCTGAAGCCGACCTGGGTCAACCACAATGGTGAGTGCGGGCCGGGCGCGCCGCCGGGCAGCAGGTGCCGCGGGGCCGGCGGGCAGGTGCGGCGGGGTACCGGGCCGGGGCAGCGGGGCCGCGGAGGGCGAGTGTCGGCGACTCGGGGCGCTGGGTGAGGAGGGGCGCGGCACGGCACACGTGGGGGGCGAGTTTGAACACGGGCCAACGGTGGCCAGGCCGGGGCAGCGGGGCCGTTCGGAGCTGCCACCCCACAGGCTGCGGGCGGCCGCGGCGTGCTCGGGGCCCCGCCGCTTCGGCGGGCGGTGCGGGCAGGTGCTGCGGGGCGGGCGGGAGCGGGGAGCAACAAGTCCTCGGTCCCGGGAGTCCGGGTTGCGCGGGGACAGCAGGAGAGATGCGAGACCGCCCCGGGATGCAGAGGAGTGGGATGCGCAGGGTGCGGAGGTCGGCCGAGCCCGTCCTCCGGAAGATGGCTGAGGGTGCCGCGCCGGCGGCCGTTGGACCGACGCTGCCAGCGGCCGCGGGGACAGGGACAGGTCCGCTCTGGGGTGGAGCGGGGCGCAGCCAGCCCCGGCCGCTGCTGGGACCTGCCGGCAGCCGTTGGGCAGCTCCGTCCTCGTCGGAGCACAGAGAGGTGGTTTGGGTCAAGCGTGGTCTGTGAGAGAGAGGAGGCTGTCGGGCAGCGACCGCGGTGCCCCGTGGGATGATGGATGGGCGGATGTCCCGTGCCAATGCGCAGCACTGGCCACGGTGGTCCCGCGTTACTGAGTCAAGTTCAGTGTTAGAGCCCCCCCCCGCCCCGCAGTAGGCTACAGCGCTGTTCGCCATGGACGGAAAAGCTTCTGCTGATGCTGCTTGTGAAACAGCTCCCTGAATTTGTGCAGTATCCTGCCTGCCGCTCTGACGGTTCTGAACAGCTCTGTGAGCTGAAGCACTCAGAATGAAGTGTCGCTGCTGACAGAAAGCTCTGAGCTTTCCCGGTAAGGTGAGCACAGGACAGCATCAGTGTTATGTATTTACACTGCTTATGGTAATTTTCCAGTGTAATACTGTCCTGTTCCTGGCAAAGCCGTGAGAATAAATCTAACATGAAAAATTGCCTTGTGTTGATGCAAGTTTTGTCCATGGATTCATGGGTCCAGCTTTATTTGAACTGCAAATCTTACACCCTGGTATAATGTCAACAGTTGAACTCCTCTACAATAAAACCAAACCAGAGACCAGCTTATTCAAGTGTGTGCTTTGAGTTAAAAACTGCAGATACAACTTTGCAGCTGCCTTTCTGCACGCGTCGATGTCTTTGTAATCATGCTGCAGGTTTTAAGAGCAGTAATTTAAGCCTTGGGATGCATTTCACATGCATCTCTACTTGAACTACTCCGCAGGTACTGTACAGTCAGGAGATGGGCCCAGCCTTTTGACACAAGTTTTTAGTCACCTTGGGAAAGGGTAGAAGTATTTTATGTGAGGCGTTTTCTACCTTTCTGCTTGGTTGATCTAAACAAATGTCGCGTTTCCATTTTAACCTCCACCTGCCTGTGCCTCTCTGGAGCTCCAGTGGGAGCATGCTTTCGACCTGAACCTTTGCAGGTGACAAGGGTTAGATCTGTAACTTCTTTCTGTATTTCTTTAGTGGGTGCACCTTGTGGTGAGGGTACGTGTTTGAAATCTGTAGCAACTTAAAATGCATCTCACCACTGCAGAAGGCAGCCTTCAGCCAAGCAGCTCACAGCGGAGCTCCATTTACAAAGCCCTGTGATACTTTGCCTAGTGGATAATGAGCGAGCCAGGGCCTTGATAGTCCCAGATTTTATTCCCATGCCTGCTGCTGTCCTGCTGGGATGAGTTTGGGCAAGTCACTTTGTCACAGTTTCACCACCTGCAAAACAGACGTTCATCACTAGCTTCATTTGTAAAATGCTCTAAGGTCTGCAAACGTACACAGGACTGCAGCACATTCATGTGTGCTTGTCCCTGGGGCAGGGTGTGCAGGATAAAAACTGGGGAGTTCAGTCAGCCTCTTTTAGCGTGCCCGGGTTCCGGATCCTGCAGGCATCGCTGCAGGCAAGGAGTCTCCATTGCTCTTAATGGGTCTACCTGCTTGCTGTGAAACCTCTCCAGAAACAGGGTAAACATAGTTTATCCTCACTCTATGACCTGGAGACTTGCTCAGATTCTGTGTAAAAGGAGGTTTTAAACTACTTTTGTTTTCTCCAGGAGCACAAGAGGCTGCTGCACTGCTGTTGGTTTGTGAGCAAGAGTCCTCACGGTTTCTCCCACACACCAGGTCAAGGCGCTGTCCTTCCCTTCTCCCCATTCAGTTTTGGGGGTTTTACCTTACTGAATGGGCTAGAATGGGTTTAATGATGCTTACAGGCGTACAGCTCCATGAGATAACAGACAATGGAAGTTAATGTACCTGGGAAATCCAGTACACCTGTGAACCATGCGCTGCTCACCCAAGGTGCTGTTTGCAGTAAAAGCACTTTAGCACATTTTGGCCCTACAGGTTTTTGCCTTGGAGTTCTTAATGTCACTTTATCTGAGTACTTATTGGAAATGTTTCTTCTTCAGATGCATTTTCCATAAGCTTTTCACACTCTTAATGTGGGTTTATTAGGTTTTGTATGAAACTTTCATATCGCTGTGTTCTTCGTTTCATTGACTTAGAGCAAGGAAGAACATTGAAACATGCAATCTAATAGTGGGGGCAGGAACAGATGACTAAGATACAGATGGTGCCATTGCTTCTCCTTCCCAGTTTTCCATTCAGCACCTCTATAAAGATGCATCACGTATCCAACAGTTGTATGTATGTATTTGGCACACAGGGTTTTGCAAGCCCTGGTCATTAAAGCTGGCAAATGCAGGCACATGCTGAGCCCTGCAGGGAAGGAGGTCTCTTGACATTCCCAGAAACCCAGGCAAATCCCAAGGTGCTGTTCATGTAGAACAACTTGTAGAAATCAGAGCCTGCTTTTGTTTAAATATGAGCACAGAGTTTATTATCTCTCCAAGCTGTAATGGTGGAATGTAAATATTTGAATTGATTTGTGAGTCATGTTGGATGTTATATATCAGATGGGCTGGAAGTAAAATGAATAGGAAGTCATTCATCCTGTGGTAGGAATGAACATGAACTTGTCTTTATATTCTGTTGACTATTGCCTGAAGGTAAATAACAAGCAAAGATGCAATATTGAAAATAGCCTTTTATTTCTTCAGCTGGTATATTTTCTTAAAGATGGGGCCTTCTTGGGTTTGAATTACCTCACTTGGAACTTCTCCTTCCAGGCTTCTTTCATTATTGATAGTTCTTTAAGTACATAATATATACTTGGCTTCTTCAAACAAATAATCCAACAGGACATCTGGTCTATCATAAGGTGTTCTGTTTTTAATGAACCCGGTTTGCTTCATCATGCAATGTGATGCTGGGAGCTTCCATAGTTTAAACTTTCTTTTGTTTCTTTAGAAACAAAGGGGACAAAATGCCTTACAAGAGGACAAAATGCCATTTTAATGTTCCTGCTGAAGTATCACATTTTGGTTTGATACATGATTGCTGTTAGGAAATTCAACACATCTTTAGTTTGGAGCATTCAGCCTCTTTGAAACAGGAACCTTGTGCCTTTTGGCTTGTTTCAGCAGGATCTAACAACAAAGTCAGATAAACGCTTGGACCGAGGAGGGAGGCAGTTGCTATCAAAGGTCAGCTCGTTCTCCATTGCTTTGAGAAAATTATGGAAGTGAGGAAAAACACAGTGTCTGTGATCAGTTTATGAACCACAAGTAGTATGGAACAAGTCTTGCAGCTTTAACCTGTGACAGTTATCCTCTACTGCAAA